TATTATTATTATTATTATTATTATTATTATTATTATTATTATTATTATCATTATTATCATCATTATTATTATTATTCCCTTCCCCTTTAATTCATCCTTTTCACATCTCACAGTGACTCCCTTCATCAATATTTTTTTAAATTCAATACTGTGCAGTGGAAACGCGTCAGGAAGCAGTCTGTGTTTTATCCCTTAGCTGAAAACTTACGACAAAACTTCAGCAAGATGGCGCAAACGTGCCAAAAAATCGCAGTTGATATCTGATGGTTCGTGCTTCTTCGTCTCACTGACCGCTTCCATCACATCCTCCCGATCAGCAGCGCTTAACATTGGTCGCTTATCCTGCAAATTTCGATGCAGGATAAAAAAAAAGGTAAGCACCAAAACAGTGTTCTAGAAGAAGAAGAAACACATTTAGAGAATTAACTAACATACTTCATTTTGGCTTCCGAATCAACGAGTTTGGTTTTTGAAGTGAAATTTGGCTTATGATATATGCGTTTCAATGAAATAAAATATTCCTGACCAGATATTTCTCCTCTAGGAATTCGACCTATCTCGCGCTACCCCTTTTTCAATCTTCATTAATCTGTCAAATTTCGAAAACCGCTGCGTTGCTTAAGCGTTGTTCCAATTATGAATTCCATAGATCTCAGGTATTTTTCGCTTAGAACGAAATTAACATATCTATTTTTGTCTTTAAATCTCTCATCTAATTAGTCTTCAGAGTCCCATTTCGCGCTTTTTTTCCCATCCTGTCTCCTCGCCCTTCTTTTTTCAAAAACCATTCTTCATCCCGGATTTGCCAGTAGACAAATAAGCTTATTCCGTACATGAAGGATAGCAAGCTGTACTGATGATTCCCGCCCTTAATGCATTCTGTCCGTGTTTTTAGCTTTAAGCAGATTCGTGTAAGTGGCAATGGGAATCATCAGACACATAGTATCGAAATATTATCGCTCTTAAAATCATTTTTATATTTTTAAATTGCTATCATTTTTAAATTTTAAACCGAATCGGCTTGTCATTTTTGTATCCCGGGAGGGAATCGAGTCACAAGACGGGACATTTGCATATCACACACTGGGTGCATAGCGCAACTGAGGCAAGCGGAGTGGGAGTGGCCAACTTCATTCCCGCCAATTGTTCGTTTCGCAACAGACTGCGTACGTGCTATTCTCAAAGTTCATTCTCGCTGACGTCATACGTCCCAGAAGTTTTCGCTCGTGTTTACATTCTATGTCCACCCTGTAATCCAGAAAGAAACGACTGCAAAAGTGCATACCATTAAATTTCGACGTAACAGATGCGTGAACTCATCCAGCGAGAATTTCACCGCCGATTGGCGCACTCTGTCCATCTGAATTTCGTCCTCAACTTGTAGAAAACTCACTTCATCCAAGATGTTATCCCTTCCGGCGCCTCCTGCTGCTGATGAGGCATCCAATTCCATCGATCCTGAAATCGCTCAGATTAAACGAGTACCACTGGCTTGCTTTCACAGGGATTTGCATAGAACTGCGCCTTAATTCAGACTGCGAAACAGTAAAACAGGGCTAAGTGAAGCTCTGAGGAGTGAGCTACTGCTGCTGCTGCACCGTCACTGCTGTCGCTGGTACTGCTACTTCTATTGCTGCTACTGCCGTTGGTGGTGCTTCTACTGCTAATGCTGCTGCGCCCCATCCTATCGCATCTCCAAAATTCACCAGAATGCCGTTTGCGACGACCAAGTAGACCACGTATTGCATTCAGTCCCGTTCATATTGCATGAACACAGTATGCACGGCGTTAAATCTCTCTTCCATTCACAGAAAATTAGTCTTATGTGTGTGTGTATGTGTGTGTTTGTTTGTATGTTATGTGTAAGTATGTGTGTGTGTGTGTGTGCATAACATATTTGTGTAGATATGTCGTGTGCCAATAGCAACCACTCGCTGGCAAGGGGCTGTCGATGGCTCTCTCTCTTTTGAAGGTTGTTTACAAGCAAACTGATGATGGCGAGTTTGACTCTACCTGGCGGCATATGCCAGTACCAATTTACCATCGAAACGAATCAATAGAGGGATTGGTTGTCTCATTGGCAGAGTTGAACCTTTGACTTTCTGCATGACAACAGTGCTACTTCCCACTGCGCTATGCCGCTATAAGGTAACGCCGCGAGCACGTAATATGCAAAATAACCTGCGGAACTCGAATTTTGCATTTCTGCATCACAGTGATTTTTTGTGGTTGTTGCTTGCGCTGCATCGTCATTCTGTTCCATTGCGATGGTCCTGCGCGGCGTGCTTCTCGGAGTTTTCCTCGTTTTGTCGTTTGGTGGTGTCTCCGGTAAAATGGTTCGTTGCCGCTTCCTTGCTTTCTTCTTCACCATTCTTTTTCCATATCTGTAAAGAAAAAAAAAACCAGAACAAACGGTGTGTGCAGCTACGGTGCTTGATATCTTTTCGAGATCACATTAAAATCATTGGCGACACGCACTGGGCGGACCCCTGCGATCATGCGTTTTTGCAGTGTTTCGTGCTGTAATAAGATCACTCGAAATTCCGCTAGCTAGAA